CATCACCGAAGCATGTAATCCGATCTCGATGTAGAATCCGACCAAATAAGATTATACAATGCCCCCGATTCGTCTACCGAGTATGTCATAAAAAACCCGGGATCATCATGTTTCTTATAATCAAGTAGGCAATAAGCGCATTCACATCCCCATCGACGATTTCCTTTGCTTTACCTCTTTGAAGTGCATTGTAGAGGTCTTTATGTGTAAATCCAACATTATGATAGCCCCTGCCTGCTGCGTTAAATAGTTCATTACTTGTGACGTGCCAACACCGACCTCTTTCAATGTTGTTGCCTCATCGATATCAGCCTTACTTACAGCTCGATTAGAACGCATAAATGGTGTCATAGCAGATGTGCACAATGCATGATTTGTTTCTGATCAGACTTACTTATAACCCACTGATCGTTTGTATTTGTTGCTGTAACTACGACTCTAGCCTTACATCCTGTTCTTGTGTGGCGTATGAGCACGTTGACGATCAACAGTATTGACTTTTGATACTCGAAACCCTTCTTTGGAACAACAAAATTCTTGTGTCTTCACATTCCCTTCCACGTCAAGCCGTGTTGTTCCCTTACGTGCACTAAACCCATGTTCCCGTGTGAATCCCTTGTAAAGTGCCAAGCTTGATCACGTGAACAGAAGAGCTGACCAACCAATCTGTCAGATTCATCAACATTATGTACTTCATGGCATTCCTCGGTTGGCTTAACATTGTCTACATCAGTATTATCCATGGCAAAAATTTTGTTGTGCAAGTTCAGTGCTCCAGGAGTTGATGGATATGTAAACGAAGGTTCATTTGAACATGTTTCTGTAGTTAAAGGGTGGGTACAACATTAAATTCGCAGTACATATTTAGGTATGTACAATAACTACAAGTATTATCATTTTAAATTCGCAGTACACTGTTAAAAAAATTGAAACATAAATTACATAAGTTTTAAAAAAGTATCGATCCTTTTATAAAAAGTATGGACACTTTCAATATAATAGGTAAACATATGATGTAATAGGTAGCCCTTTATAATGTAATAGGTATCGTTTATATAATGTAATAGGTAATGGTTATATTGTAAAGTGTCTATCCTTTTATAAAAGTGTCCATACTTTTTTCACTGTGGAAAACATTAATTTAAGGTTATCTTTTGAGTGAGTTTTAAGATATTAATTTAGTAATTATAGGCGTCTAATGATTTATTTTTTACGTTACGGTATATATTATTATTAAATTAAAAATTCTAAATAATATTTTATAAAATATCAAAACAATCAAATAATTTTTTGTGCAAATGAAATTATTAAATCAATATTGTAGGTGGAAAACATGAAACACTGTTAAAGTATCGATCCTTTTTATAAAAAGTATGGACACTTTCAATATAATATAATGTAATAGGTAAATTTGCAATGCTATCGGTATAAATATACTGGTTTACTTATAAAATAGGTAAATATAAGCGCTACCTATTACATTATATAAGCGCTACCTAGTATGTTATTGTACTTTATAATATTTCCGGTTAAATAATATAACATAACCAGTCTAAATTTTAACCGCCGTTTTTTAGGCGCCGCACCGCAGAACGACCCGGGATTTTGACTATTTTATACTTGAAAGTTTTACCAAAATATCTCTCATATGACAGTTTTAATATATAATTAATAAAAAGTATTATAAAAAATGTTAATATATTTTTAATATATTTAGTAAAACGTTATTTAAAACATAATTTTTTTTACCAAAAATCATGTAATAAAATTAACATTTCTGATAAAATAATAATATTTTAGTTAACGATTTACCGAAAATGTTAAAAATATATTAACATTTTCAATAAAATATTTCTTTAACCATATATTAAGATTGTCGTACAGTATAAATACTTAAATTTTACTGTTTATACCTCGAAATAAAACAAGTTTGTTGCTGCAATTTGTGGTTTTAAAAGCATACGTTCTTGTTGAGTTGATGTAAACAGTTGAATGGTAATTTTCTTTTAATGAGATTTAAATCATAATATTTTTTTGAAAGGCCATATATAATTTTATATTTTAAACCTAAATATTTATACAATATTGAAAAAAAATTTATACAGCTTTTATTTTTATTTTGAAAGTATAAGAACCGAAATACACATCACACTATAGTGCATACTTATAATATATTACAGTAAAAATAACATTTATTTTTATAATGTATAATACGGTAAAAATATTTTTTATATGCATGATATTGTCCTAAATAAGTAAAATTGACAATGGTATAAGATCTACTGACCGGATCATCTAGGATGTAAGGAAACCTACGAATTGAAATTGGAAAAAAAAATATAATATTTTAATTAAAAAATTATTTGAAAGTTTAGTTTATGGAAGATAAGATTATTAATGATAGTTTTATATTTTAAAAATATATTTTCATATTTAAAAGATGACTTTGAGTGGGTAATATAATATTTTTAATAATGATAAACTACATGAATGATAATTTTTGTTTAAGTTTTATACACTTTTTCTTGTTAAATTTACAAATTAAATATTCGGTCATTTTCAATTTTATTTGTTTAAGATGTGGTCAATGAAAATTGATTGTCATTATACTTTTAACATATTACTAATGTGATACAATATATTTATAAAATTAAGATGTGATCATTGAGAGTTAACTACACTAATGGTCACAAATGTTTGAGTAAATTTTTATTTTCCCTACTAAAGTTTCAGAAGTAACAAATTGGTCACCAAAACATCAAATACGTCTTTGAACAATGATTTTATATTTAATTCACCCAAAAAGTTTTTAATTTTTCCAATTTTCCTATTTTTTATATATACTTTTAAAATTTTAAAAATAAAACTTAGAAATTATATTTTTTTTGACATGTATTTCAAATGATAAACAAGAAATTAGAAATATTTTAGAATGATATTTTAGTGACCAATTGTTATTTTTAATTATTTATATCTCAATGTAGCAAGGCGTACGTTGTGAGCATAGAATAGGTGAAAAAGTAAATTGAAAGCAAAGAAATAATAATTATTACTTGGTATAAATATTCTACCATGGTCTATTTATCTGATTTACAAGCCTCAAGTTAGTAAACTTTGCTTAGCTTGGCTATTTACAATAAGAATAAGAAGTCGCATTGTTGGAGTATTATTAAAGTCGGCTTGTTGGGAGATCCATCACCTAGTTTGTTTTATAATATGATCCCTAATAATTTATTTTTTAAAATATAATCATAAATATTTTTTTTTTATATTTTTCTAGATCCAACAAAAATAGATATAAAAAATAACTAAACATCTATCAATCCGACGGATGAAAATAAAATCAATTCTAAATAAATAAACTTATAAAAATAATATTTATAGGAGACAAGACAAATTTTAAATGAGATAAGATAAAAATATATATACTATTAAAAAAAGGCTTATTAAAAAATATGATTTACAAAACAAATCATAGATTTATAAAATGGATATATAAAATGATATTCTTTAGTGGTTGAGTCATCTTTCAATGTCGATTCAATTGACTTTGATGATAGGTGAGTGTGAGAAAATAAAAAAAATAATGGACTATAAAATTATTTAATTATTATTTAGAAAAGTATTTCAATTAAATTAATACCTAATTAATTGATAACGATAATTGAATAAGACTTAATATATAATTTATACAATTGGAGAAAGGAAAAATGAATGGTTCAAATCATGTGGATTTCGTGTAATCTGAAGTTATTTCGTTTTGAATATGTCAACTACTTTAGTATTGGGTAAATAAAAATAGAAAAAAAAATTAAGATAAGGTTTTCATAAGGTAGTGGCAGATTTAATTATGATATCAGTTATTGCTTAGGACAAGCAGTTGTTGTCCATCAACCAATATTATTAGTTTGATGTTTGAAAAATCTCCAAATGAATATACGATAATCAACTTATCTTAGTAGTTAAAAGAATTGTTGTTGTTCTTAAAGGTCATGAGTTTGAACACCCGCAATTGCAACATGATAATTGGCCGTTCATTGTCTAATGTAAGAGTATTTAGAACATATACTAATTCGAAATAACATGATATGTGATGTGTGGCCAAAAAATTATTGTCTAATGTAAGAGTATTTAGAACATATACTAATTCGAAATAACATGATATGTGATGTGTGGCCAAAAAATTATTATAAATTTGAATGGGCAGTCTTTTATTTCCCGGGATAAGTATAGAGGTTGATTGGAATTCTTACATGTCCAGAGAAGAAAACAAAGAGATGAAAGGAATGGGGTTGTGTAGCAAGCAGGAGAGAGACCAAAAGCTATTAATGGTCTATATTGTCTTTGATATTGATAGGGGTGGCATTTGAACCTAACATGTCCTGCGGCTACAAATACAATATTCACCTTTTCAAAATTGATGGACAAACAATGGAACACGTTCCAAATTGCTCTTCCATTCAACTTTATCACACATGACTTCCTTATCTAAAATCAAAGAAATTGTGGGTTTCCGAGGCTGCCCCAATTTGATGGACTGAAAATTTTTAGTTTTGTCATTTGATTTGATAAGGAGTGTTATCCGGGAATTATTGATTGACACGACTTTCTCCTGTGGTGAGTTCAGTGGTGGACCCAAAGCCAATGGATGCAAATAGTGAAAAGAAGGCCCATTTGCAGGAGAATGGGTTTTCTTGGGCCAACAGGGCAAACAGTTCCCCGTGAGCCAGGGAAGAACTGCAGCCAATTTCATGTTTCAAACAAGTTGTACAGAAAAAGGAAAATTTTGGTCACTTTCTGAAGACTTGTTTTTGTTGGATTTGAGGATTTTCGGTGGCTTTGAAGTGGGTCGAAGTAGTAAAAATTGGCATCGAATTTCAGTCCCCAGACAACAGACAGAAATTTGATTGTTTACATATTCATGTCTGAGAACAATTACACTCGAGCTTTGCCTTCTTCCTAGTTCAAAACCCTCTAATTATGGCTTGAAAAATTCCCGATTTTCTACCTCTTCACTGCTATACACTTTCTTGCACCGGACCAGACTGCACCGATGACTCTGTCCTGCTGCAGTTAACAGCGATCTCTTGGTCTGTTGCAGCCAGGCAGCGCCTGCACGTAGGGCACGAAGAATGCGAACTAAGCCATTTATCAATGCATCGAATATGAAATCCATGGTTGCACATTGGCAAAATCCGCACACGTTCCCCCGCAACAAACTCGGATAAGCATATAACACAAGCCATGTCCAATCCCGGCAGTTTCAACTCCGATGTATATTTCACAGTCGGGAACGCTTTTAAAACATTCTTCTCAACTCCCCCTGTCACCGACTTGGCCGAAGCGTTTGCGATTGAAGTAACAGAGCTCCAGCATCGAACCGCACACTTCACCATAAAAAACAACCCCAAAGACGTGAACACACTGAACATAAGGACCGAGAGGACGAAAATTACATTCTCATCGACTTTGCTATTAGCTTGAGCCGGGGATTCGCTCGAATAAAGGGACGAATGTTGCAGAAATTTTCTCGGATGGAAGGATTCAAGCAAGTGTTGGGAAAACTGGGTAGGTGTTGAAGAAGTAGACATGTTTGCAATTGTTGTTCCATTGAAATATTATATACACACGAAAAAGTTAAATAAAAAGGTGGGTTCTTTTTCTATATTGGAAAAGTGACAACTTTTCATCCATTTGTCCCATCAACAAAAGCTCAGCCACTAACCAGTCGTGCTGGAAAGGACATTAACGAATGACCTTTTCTTTTCGATATTAGAACTTGTCCGAGATCGAACCGAATCTTTAATGATGTAACGAGGAACAGGGACAGTAGTGTAGTTGGTTCCCAGCGAGCAAATCAGCTCCCTGAAACGACAGTCAAATCCACAATTTGCAGGTATGATTACAATTTACATAGTTATTTCGTGCAACTTGTAAGCTGGTAGATATAAGCCAATGATGTTCCTGTATATTACAAAGTGTAAGTTGCTTTTTCGCAGTGGCTAACTAAGTTCATATTGACCATGAACTAACACACAAAATTTTCACTTTATAATATAATATTTTGGGTGGCTAATCAGATATCAACAGAACTCAGTGGCAGGTTAGATAAGATCTGGGGTTGCTTTCGAGAGTCCATATGCTGTTTTAGTGTAATTATTTTGGTCATCGTCTCTCAAGTTTCCAGCTTTCCTATAAAACAAGTTTTTCACTTGTGGCTGCAAGTAGAGCAGAATTGTTCGTGAGATCTTTGAATACATTTCTTCTTGGTGGAGGAAATCTGCAAACTAGCACCAACCATTATCTGGAAATATTTTTTGCTGGTGAGATTAATGCTTTAATTATTAACTCAATCATTGATGTATGGATGTAATTATTAAATATTACTGTAATATTGCAATATGCTAAACAGAATTATCGATAGTGCAGGCGGCACATACGTGGGATTAGTGTTTAAAATAGAGTTAATTGCACCATACGTCCCCAATCTATGAACTTCATTTCAAATTGGTCCATAAGCTTTTAAATATTTCAATTTCATCCTTAAAGTATAATTATTATTTTAAATCAGTCCTTAAACTTTTGAATATTTCATTTTCATCCCCAAAATGTGATCTTCATTCTCAATTAGTCCCCAAAATGTTTGAATATTTCAATTTTATCCGAAATTGTACGCACAGACTAATCCTATCTCTTGTTAATAAAATCATTAGGCCAAGTTATATTATTATATGTTTGAAAAAAATGAAATTTATGTTAAACTATGATTGAAACGGATTACATATTTGGATGAATTTGGGGGATGAAATAAGAAGATCTAAAAGTTTAGGGACCAATTTAGAATGATATTTATAGTTTGGGAATAAAACTGAAATGTTCAAAAGTTCAAGGACTAATTTAGACTGAGTATCATAGTTTGAGGATGCAATTGAAATGTTTAAAAGCTTAAGGATTAATTTGAAATGAGAGTCATAGTTTGAGAACATATAATGCAATTAACTCTTTTACAATATAATAGTGCTTTTATTTTTTGTTGTTGTTCGAGGTGATTTGTTTACGTGTCATGGGAAGTGGTGGATCAAATGTGGACCGGTTGGTATTGCCATGGCCCACGAAACACATTTGATGGGAATGGATAGAAGGGACGAGAAAGAAAATCATACGCCTATCTCTGATTATAATGCTTTATTTAGGAGAAAATATGTAAATCAACCTTACACAATCTACAATTTCAAGCAATAGAAAATATTGGAAAAAAAAACAACGATAATGAATGAGAAAGAAAAAGTATGATGAGCGATTTAAATAATGATCGTAGTTTTATTTTCGATTACGTTACATTTATTATTTGTCATGGTTATGGACATAATGAATATTATTGGGACGGTTCAAATTGTCTGTTTTTTTACAAATGGGGAAGTACCAAGGCAGGTGAAGGTGGTTTAAACGACATAAATGGTTGGGTGGCCTGTTGAGGTGTGCCACCAGTGGTGAGGGCTCAGATGCCCAATAATTTGGGCCCAAACCCATAAATAAAAATCAGCAAATCAAAGGAATGACGTGGCAAGATCAAGGGTGCCGTCCCATCCAATGATCCATCAGCTCCCCTGGCCCTGGTTGCTTCCAACTTCTAACTACACCATAACTTGTTTCGCGTCTTCTTTCTTCCCTTCCCTTAAACAGTCGTATATATTTAACAAATACAAAAGAACTTATATCTTTACCAAACGAGATAAGCCTGTTCAACTGAAAACAAAGCGAAAAATCATGGTTCATTAAATTCACTCCATTAACAAACAGGTGACTCAGCTTCTGTCTTTGCTTCCTTTGCCCTATGATTATTTTTTTCTTAACAAATATTAGTTTTTTTTTTTTGCTTTCTTCAATTTGCTTTGAAAGTTGTTCAATTTTTTTTGCGAAATAAATTTCTGGGGAAACTGAGATGGATGATGACGAGCAAAACCCAAAACGCAAAAATTAGTAGAAAGAAAGAAAAAACGGCCGGTGTGCTCAAACGTGTTCGTTACTCAAGCAGGCCAATTTGATTTTATAAAGAGCGAAAGAAAACAAAAGTCTAAGCTGTTTGTTTGCTTCCTTTTTAATGAAGTTTTCCTAATAGCTTTTATTTGATAAAATATGTGTATGGCTGCTGCTTGTACCAATTTTTTTCTCTCTGTCCGCTACTTTCACCGGTTAATTTAGTTCATTTCGAGTTATTTCCTACTGGGTTTATATCGATGCATGAGGATTTTTATTTATTATCATTGTTCCTTATGGCTTTTCTAATTGTATCTGCAGTGAGATTGCCTCCCGAAGTGTTTCGAGTTTATAATCTCAATTTCTCCTTGAAGGGTTTGATTGTTCCACTTGTACCAAATTTAAACTTTATGGCATCAACTCATTCGAGTTCTCACACCGAAGCAGCCAAAATGGAACAAGTTATCACTGAATTCTTCTATAAGAGTCTTTTTATAATTCTTGAATCGAGGTCTCCTTATGTGTCATCACGTAATTATAGTGGGGAACAAACTGTGTCGTCCCCGTCTTCATCCTCATCCTCTTCATCTAGTGTGAGACCAAGAGATAAATGGTTCAATTTAGCTCTTAGGGAGTGCCCTTCAGCGCTAGAAAATCTTGACCTTTGTCGGCAGAGTAATTTTGAGTCTGTAGTTGTTGATGTTATATTGGACCAGAAGCCTCTTGACTGGGGACCTGCAAGTTTTTCCCCCAAGAGGGATCTTGTTGGGAATTTGTCTTCTAAAGATAAGAATTCGCTTTTCTGGAATTCTGATCTAGAAGAATCAGGCAGGGAGATAAAAAGTGAAAAGATTGTTGAAAGATGGTTGGTGCAGCACGAAAGTAGAAAGGGTCGGGATTGTAATTTAGGGAATAGAAGGTCAAGTTGTTATAATTTGAGTGCATTATATAAGAAATTGATATTGTTGTTGAGGTCCTTATACGTGACTGTGAGGCTTTTACCTGCTTACAACATTTTTCGTGATCTCAATTCATCCGGTCAAATCTGTGCCTTTAAGATGGTTCCTAGGGTATCTTCTTTTGTTGAACCCTTGAATCGTAAAGAAGAGGCTGATATGCAGCGATTTTGGTTTACCCCTGTGGACACATCTTGCGGAAGGCTTTGCGTTTCTGTTTTGTACTATTCATCAATCTCAGATATAAGCTCCGAATCGTCAACCCCGATGTCCCCTCAATTTATACCAAATTATGTTGGAAGCCCATTGGCAGACCCATTGAGGAGATTTCCATCTCTTCCTATGTCACATGGCTCTTCATCATCTTTACCATTTTCAAGAAGGCATAGTTGGAGTCATGACCATTACAAGGCTTCACCACCTTTGGTTTCTTTCTCACCATCACCAACACATTCGGAGTCACATGCTTCGGCTTCTAACCCGATCTCTCAGCCGTTTCCGCCTATGAGCTTACCTCCTCATCCTCGTGAAACATCACTAGCTCATAAGAAGGTTATGAACTTAGATGAGCATCGTCCTTCCCCCAATTTCTCTACTTCCCCATCACCATCACCATCACCATCACCATCACTCCCAATCCACATACCCAGGTCTCATTTATCAGAAGCTCTTTCACGCTCTGAAAGTGATCCTGTTGACATACCGGGTCCTAAGCTTGCTAATTCCCCTGCATTGTCTGACAAGCACAATTTGCCACCATCACCTCCCCTTAAAATTACAAGAACTGGTACTTCTAGGACTGATAATTTTAGGGTACCTGCTGAAACTGTTACAACAATTGAGAAGGTATTTCATATGCACATCATTGTATGTTGTTATTTTTAGTGTATATTGTTTCTCAACTTGGAGTTTATTTCTCTTTTGTCTCTTGTAGCTGTACTCTTTTGGGAAAGAGGACTGTCGGAAATATTCTAGAGTGAAGATATCTTCCTGCAGTTCACCACGAATTTCATGTTCTAGAAGTTCCAGTAGGTCTTTACAAGATGATTTTGATGACTTTGAGTTTCCTTGCCCATTTGATGTGGATGATGATGAAATGACGGACCCTGGTAGCAGGTAATCCACAGAATTCGTGTTATGTTTTTTTTTATACTTATCTTAACCCTTCTGCATCATTTGTGGATAATTCCAATGCATAGTTGCATACAATTAATTTACTAATTTTAATTTTGACTACTGGATGCTATTTTTATCCTGATTTCTTGAGGATTTGTTATCTTTTTAGTTGTCCTTATAAATTTGAGATCTGCGGCATCAAGTTTATGAATCATCAGTTGAGGACTTAATTTGTTTGTGTTAACTCACCCTGGGGATAGTTCATCTATGCTTCTGTGTCCTACTGCTCAAAATGGTAGAAACTTGTTAAAAAATCTTGTAAGCAATTGATAAGTGTAAAGGGAAAAAGGTAGTTAATCTTGTAGGTTATGGTGGTTATGTCTGTTATTGCCAGTGACTTGTTAGCGGTCTAGGGGCAATTATTCTGCTACTGGAAGTTAATAGCAGTTAGCTGCCTAGGATTCTGCATATAAACACTTGTAAGCACCATTTCAGTTTATGCTTGGATCTATACAGAATTCCTAATTCTCTCTATTCTCTTTTCTGTATTTTTTACTTACCACTTGAGAGTTGTTCTCTCTTCTTCAGCACTCCTGTGTGAGTTTATTTGTCACTCAGCATACATCAGCCGTCATGTATATGCTAAGAGTAGTAAATCTCCTTTTTCACCCTTTTGTTTGCGCGCGTATGTTAACTTTGTCTCAAACAATTTTTTTTTCTCTCAAAATGTAAAGTTAGCACCAAAACTGATGAACTTTCTAGGAAACTGAATAAATATTCTTCAGCGAAAAGATTGTGCATTATAAATTTCAATATTTAGGTGATAGTAGCCCTACTATCTGAATATTTGGTTCAGGAATTGTTAAATATCATCCATGAAGAGTTATCAGCTAAACTTTGCTTTCTAGTTTTGAGAAAGACAATCTGACTTGCATTATAAATTTCAATATCTTCTTATCAAAAAAATAAAATAAATTTCAATATCTAGTCCAGTTAGTAGTCATAGTGGAGTATCTGCCTATCTGGTACTGGAATGAGCGCAAGTATCTATTTATCATCTACAGAGAACTACCTTATAAAGTGTTCTTTCTTGTTTTGAGAGGAAAAAAACTAGGTGGTTATTATAGATTTCAATATGTGTTCGGGGTAGTAACCATAGTGGAATATCTAGTTCAGGAATAGGTATAGGTTTCTGTTTATCATCTATGTAGAGTTACCATGTATAATTTGCTTTCTAGTTTTCGGAAAGGCAGCCTGGCTGATTAATTTTAAGATGTTTATTAACTTCCTTATCCTCATTGTTAGTTGGTGAGTAACTGAATTAATTTAAACTTAGATGATTAAGTTGAGTAAAAAGAATCGGATCGGTTATGAAGAAACACCCGCTATTGACTGAAGGATGTGGCTATTTCCAAAACGATATATACTTTCCTTTTCACTTATATTTATTTAATCTCTCTAAATTAACGCTGGTGGAGAAATCTGAATGTTTTAAAAGTAGTTTGTGTGTGGGGCATTTTCTTTTCTGCAACTGTTGGTTTGGAATTATCCCTTTGAGAAAATCCGTTTGATCAGTTAACTGAAGTTGGTGCTTAATAGAAAATGAGTAATGATTTTCATCTCCAAAGCGACAATCAGTCATTTTAAGATATCTGAAATTGGAGAAAACACCTTATACCCTTTATCATGATTGTCAACACTTGATCTGAATTGACACGGATAAATTTTACTAGTAACTGCTGGACCTTGTTTGACCTCTTTTACTGCTTCAAAATTTTCTGAATTATTGTGTAAACTGAATTGTTCTGTTTGCATATTCTCTAGAGCCGAGTCTTACGATAAAAGGGCACATTCATCTGATCCAAATGAAGCTGGGTTGTTCGTGAATAGAAAATCCCAAGATGCTGCGGTTGGTGCTCTTGTCCTTATGCTGAAAAAAGCCCCTCCTCTCTGCCAGGACACCTCCCTTAATTTTTCAGAAGCCTCAAGGCCAGAAATGTGGAGCAACAGCATCCAAAAGCAGAGTCAGATCTCGGAAGCTGAGACTGTTGAACATGCTGCTGCTTCGAGTACTGCATCTTCGAGGCTTGTTGCATCAAAGACAACTGCTGATGCATTAGAGGAACTTCGGGGTTACAAAGCAATGAAAAACCTGTTGCTTAGTGAAGGGGGTAACGCATACACATCAGCTAGTTTTGATTCTGCAGCTGAACATTCCAGGATCAGCAAAGGTACATGAGAATTGTGAAATTCTACTATATTGGTATATATATTGCACATATGTACAGAATTATGGCTCCTGAGATTACTCTACGGGTGAAGACATTTTCCCTTTCTATTGTAGATAAAAGTATATATACGTATGTATGTTTGATACAGTTTTAGATAAGATTTATTCTACAAGAGAAGTATCCGTTGGCCTGGAAATCTTTGTAAAACCCAACCTTTCTTTCTCTGTAAAGTAAACTGTATATCTTGTAGATCTGCAAATGTATAAGCTATATATATATATATATATATATATATATATAGCAGTATATATCTCTATGTTTAGCTTATTTGAATTTCAGGTGCGATGCGGTGCTCTGCTCCAAGCTTGGAAGTGCAGTTGCCTATAAGATTTTAAAAATATCAATGTAGTTTACTATATAAACATCGGAAAATCTTTTAACTTCAAAAAAGAAAAGGAATCTTCAATTTTTTTTAAAAAATGTTTTTTTAAAAAATTTATTAGAAACAAATGCTCCCAATGTGAAAAAGCAAAAACATATTAAAGATGAACAAGAATCATTCTAGAATCAAGGAATCAGCTCTCAACACACTGATCTGATTAATTGAATAGCTATCAGCTCGGCAAGGATAGAGTTAACACTCCACACATTATCCGAATCAATGTTTACCAGCAAGAATGTAAGTTTTTAGGGTGCGTTTGGTTTGCAGAATCTTATATCACCAAGGGGAATGTTTTTTTTTTCAGGAATTGTATTTCCACGTTTGGTTCACGGAATTTTACATTACCGGGAATACTCTTTTCCCAATAGTAGCATTTTTAGTTAAAATTGTGGGAAAATCATTCTCCAAATTCTTAGGTAATCTGACATTCTCACCACTTTACACAAAAATAACCTTGAACTAATGAATTCTTTTTATAATGATTATTTTAAATTCTTATTTTTTATACTTTACTCAAAATTATAAAAATAATAATAATATACAAAGAGTTTGATTTACTAAAATATTAATAATTTTGAGAATTTAAAATATTTTATATTTTTAATGTTCAATATTTTACTATTTATAATTTTATGGGATGAAAAAATAGTATTATTGTAAAAATGTAATTATTTAAAATAATATTTTACTACAGTAATATTATTTTTTATATAAAAAATATGATACTTATGAACATTATTTAAAAATATAAATTTAATATACTAATTATATTAATTATATATTAAATGTAATTTCTCCTCAAAAGTTAGATAGTATAACGATTAAAATATTTTTGAATTTTCATTCAAATATTTATAAATTAATATTAAAGTTTAACTTAAAAAAAATATACCACAAGGATAATTTGGTAAAATATGCATCTAATTAATCTTATATTCTTCCAACCAAACACTGTAATCTTACATTCATGCTAAACAATCCAAACAAAATAATACAATATTCTCATAGTAATGTTACATTCCAGTAACGTTATTCCAAAAAATAATCTTACATTCCGTGAACCAAACGCCCTTTAAGAGATTCCTGAATTCCAACCAGTTCTAACATAAAAAATTGTGGACATCAACAATGGAAGTTCTTGAATTCTAAGTTATTCATCTTTCTCCCTAAAACAAGTACCGCATTAGAGAACAAAGTAGAAGCTCTTGGTCATAACAATTACATCGATCGACATAAAAAAAAAAACTGAAATCGGAAATGAAGTTCTTAAGCTCCTGCTTCAGGAGACTTGGTCTGCCTCTGCAACTCATCATCAGCATTTCTCAGGAATTGGTCCCAACCACTGCCTTCACTGACATCCAAGTAATCATATGGAACTGCCGTCTTCAAACCTGGCCGAACAGCGCATTGGCTCTCTACGATTCTGAAGTTCAAATCATTTCCTTCCCCGGGATTCAGCTCCAATTCGTCCCAGGTGAACAGAAACGGCAATGTAAAAGCACCCCAAGGATTGAAATCCAACACCTTTACTCGTCCATCCTCCGTAACATAAACATCAAACGTGTAATCGTCTGATTCAAATTTCAGCCTCACATTGACATTAAAGAATTCTTCAATCAACACTTGAAGATTATTTTTCTTCCCACAAAGAACCGGATAAAATGTAGTGACCTCCCGCTGCGAAATTCCAACAAGCTTCTGTCCCCTTACAAAGCAACGAAATTCCATTTCTGGTCGAAAAGAAGGGTACCATTTACGGAGGGCAAGGAAGAAACTTGGGGGTCTTGAAATGGTTTTGTCACTGCATGAATCATATGCATGACATAAATCATGGATCAAGGAGTCAGATGAGCGAAGCAGGAGAGCAATGTCGGTGAACGTAGTGCACCGGAGAGTCCCGGACGTGCTTATCCATGCAGAGTCCTTTGGTGCACTCCAATTCAACTTAGGAAATACCGCACCCCCAAGGGCTTCAATTGACTCCTTAATCTTCAGCTCAAGTTCAGGGAAAGAAGGTGGCGATGAGGGTTCTACTTCGTCTCCCGATCCTTCTGATACTTGATAATCTCTTCTTCCTCATCTGGATTATGAATTCTATTCGGAAAGGCATCCTCGTTTGAGATCGAAACAGGAAGGACGAAAGGTACCGAGTCATCAAGCAGGTACTGGACAAAGGATTCAGGAAGCTCATGAATCAAAGTCCTAATCGACACTGATTTAAATTTTGGGTACCATTCTTGAATCTGGCATCGGTTTACTTCTTCTTCCTTCATAGCTGTAACAATGAAACACTCTTCTACAAAGTAAACGAAGAGAGTGCGAGACGAAACAGAGTAACGAGCAGAAGGATTCAAAACAGAAAATAAAGAAAAAATAGCAGACCGATGCATATGAGTCTCAATTAGAAATTAATCTCCAATTAGGGTTTCAAAATTACCTAATTCAATTCTCTGGTCAGTCGGAAACTTGAAGGCAATACTGGCACGGGGGACTTTGCTTGCTTCTCTCGCGGGAAGGCAGCCAAGTTCATTTCATGGGACCGCGGCGCAGTGGAGCAGCTAGGTCAGGAACTGGGGGTAATTGAGCTTCTCGGGATAAAGAAAAAAAAAAGCACCTTTTTTGGGTAAACTACAGGCATGGTCACTAAAGTTTTTGTTTTCCCCGCTTAATCACTAATATTATCAATTTATAACAAAATGATAACTCGACATTATCCTTAGCCTCAATGATGAAAAATTGAGTTGGATCGTTAAACACTTATCTGGTCCATCGATGGTTTACCTGGCATGTTGACTGGTGACTAATTGATGATTGTTGTTGATCTTTTATGAAATTGCTTCTTGTTCCCCTCCTCTTTCTCTTTTAGGGTGTTCAATCGGACGGTTAGGTTAACTGATCAAACCAAATTAATTGAATTTTTTTTAACCGCTAATCAAACTAAATATTTTTGAAAATAATTAATCGAACCAAACAAAGTTTGATTAATCGGTCAATTAATTGAATTAACCAAAATATATAAATAATATATATTATATATTCAATATTTTATATTTTTGGCTAATTCGATTAATTTGGCTAGTTAGTTCGGTTAAAACTGATGTTTAAACACTCTAATATATAAATAATATATAATATATTAAATTTTTAATAATTTTGGTTAACTTGATTAATTTGGTTAACTGACCGATTTCGAACCTAATTAACCGGTAACCAAAGTTTGAAAATATTACCTGTTAACGAAAAAAATTTGGTTCGATCGGTTAAATTAATTTTAACGAAACTTTGAACACCCTTAACCCCTCTTCTTCCCCATATCCCGGCTCAATTCCACTCTCAAACCAACCGACCTAGCTACCTTAAAAGATGTTAGAACCGTCGGCACACCCCATGGCGTAGCAGAAACAAACTCGAGGATCTCACTAGCGATCCATGTACGATAAAATCAAAATCGGGAGGAAAGGATACAATTACTTATACTGGGTTCCTTGAAAAACAACAATTCGACAGTGCAGTCGAATCCTAAGCCTCCACACCAACATCTCGACCTCTACTCAGTTCACCTGGTTGAGAGTAAATATTTTCTTTTCTCAAAAACGATTTTGAGAAATTTCATCTAAAAGAACAAGTGCGGCGGCTAGACCTTTCTTATCCTTATATATGAGTTACCCTACCCTTTGGGGTTTTTTAATTCTAAATTAATTAAATCTGAATTTAATTATTTTGAATTAAAATATTTTGAATTAAATAACCATTAAAAGAATTGTAACCATATTTACATTCTTTTAATATATGTTATCTCATATTCGTGATAATTAATATATATATATATATATATATATATTCTTAATCTTGTAGAATAAATTTTACAATTAATATCAGTTTAATTGTTGCTCATTTCACCCTAGGGTGTGACCCTGTATGTTCCTGAAACATTAATAGTAATTATTAGAACCATTCTAAAATTACAAACAATGAGTGACATATAACAATATATCATTGTCACCTAAGTTACAGGAAGTCATGATTTGACATAACATCTTCATGACTAACTCTTTTATACATTCTATCCTTTTGTACTTTATATATAGAATAAGCACAGGTCTTGTAATAGTCACACTTATATAGCTCATCTTTTATTTCTTCATATCTAGAGTATACTATAATAAATGAATAATTTGTGATATCTCATATCAATTTATTCGAGCATGGCATTGCATTTCTAGTCTCACTCAATCAAGTGGCTTGTGATATATTTCCCATTATGTATGAAGGACAAATCCTATCTTGATCATTCACACCTCACCACGTATACTGTAATATGTTCAACATCAGTCTTTATAGTGCAACATGTTAGGGAGCATGTTTAACTGTATCAAAACATACAACAATATATGTTGAGATAGTAATGATCTCAAGAATGAGGATCATACATATAATCATCCCCATGAGAAATGTTGTGACCATCACATAATAATCCAAGAAACATGCTCATAACGGGTCAATCCAATATATAGTTCTCTAACAACATATTCATGTATGACAACGCATTGTCATCAATCAACATGTTAGCTTTAAACGCATTATTACTGTCCATGCCCATAATAATACTCAACTAAGGACCTTTCAATAACAATCATATTATTATATGAACATTATTTTCTTTTAGTTTATTTAATACACATAAATATAACAAAAGAAAATAAATCTAATGCCTTTATTCGATAAAAGCAGTAAAAATAGTATGTCAATACAATCATCACATGATTGATCTTTGGTCATATTCTAACAAAAGAAATCCTCAAATCACCAACCATACGACTATGTTTATTAACCCTAAATCGATTCCGATTAAAAAGATGAGTTTACCAACGAAATCGACCAAGCTTTACCGAGGTGTTAGACAACATCACTGAGGGAAATGGATCGCCAAGATCCGGCTACTAAAGAACTAGACCCGTCTTTGATTAGGCACTTTCGAAACAGCCGAAGAGGCAACCTTAACTTACAACAAAGCGGACTATAAACGAAAAGGTGACTAGAAATTTTGAAGAGGATATGAACTCTGGAACCCCCGCTTCAAACATGGCAGTTTGGAATTGCGAAGATGACTCAATCTCTGAGATCCCTTCGCCATCTTCCTCTAATCATAATACACTAGTGACGTTGTTAGAGAGGATAAAAAGTTGGAATCAACCTCACAGTAAGTTTTCCAATAGTGATATTAACATTTTTGGAAGCTGAATCGATAGGAAAACTGCCACAATACGTCCATTGTCCTTTTTTTCAACAAATTATCATTTTGACATTTCACATAATTCAGACCAATCTCTCTAGATTTATTTTTTGAGTGTGTGTTGTGTGTTATCTTCTAAAAAAAAATTTATAATTGCTTGTAATTCCATTCAGACAGTAGTTATATATGGCCATTTTTATGGTTAAATTATCAAGAAAAATAATATATTCTCTGCAATCTACACTCTGCAAAAATAAAAAAAAATTGCGGCAAAAACTAGTTGAAAATAAAGAAAAAAAAGTATGCAAAACAAGTACAAAAGAAAGAAATCCAAAGTTTCAAACAAAAAATTTTGTAAATTTAAAAAAAAACAGAGAGCAATCGAGCAAGCAAGACTTACCATTCACCAAGGCAAAGACCAAACCGGGAAGGGAACAAGTCGAGAAGAAGTTGAGCATGCCAAGAACGAACGAGCATTGGCTTCCATTTGACAATGTAAGAAATCCCTAGATCTATCATCTAAATTTAGAAGAATTAGAAGAAAAAAAATCAGAACGCAAAAAGGAATAAAAAACAGTGAGCTATAAATATAAGAAGAAAAAAAATAAAAATAGTAGATCAAAATATTAAATAGACGCTAAAAAAATTACCTAAAAATTATTATTTTTTAACGTTTTCGGTAAAAAATTACCTATAACATTTCTGGTAAAAAATTACCTAAAACATTATTATTTCTACCGGAAATGTTATTATTGGGCGCTTTACCGGATTTGTTAACATATCCGGTAAAGCGCTACCTAAAACATTATTTTTCTACCGGAAATATTAAAAAACATTAATGTTTTAGGTAAAAAAAATATTTTAGGTAATTTTTTACTTAACACTTCTTCATAAAGGCTACCTAAAACATTATTTTTCTATCCGAAATGTTAATTTCACTACTTAATTTTCGGTAGAAAAAAATCTAGTAGAAAAACAATGTTTTAGGTAGCACCCAATATTAACATTTTCGGTAGAAAAAATAATGTTTTAGGTAGCGTTTTACTGGAAATGCTAAAAAATAATAACATTTCCGGTAGCGCATTTCTGGTAGAAAAATAATGTTTTAGGTAGCGCCAATATTAACATTTTCAGTAGAAAAATAATGATTTAGGTAGCGCTTTATCGGAAATGTTAAAAAACTAATAACATTTCTAGTAGCGCCTTTCCGGTAGAAAAATAATGTTTTAGGTAACTTCTAATATTAACATTTCCAGTAAAAATATAATGATTTAGGTAGCGCTTTACCAGAAATGTTAAAAAAATAATAACATTTCTAGTTTATCCTAAAATATTATTTTTGAGAGTAAAAGAAAATAAATTAATATAAAAAACTAAAATATATATGCCATACGTGTGAACAAAATAGAGAATTAGAGAGCTTTTTAATTATTTAAACAATTTCTAGGATATATTTTTAAGGAATATTTTAATTTGTCATCCTCCCACCTTTAAGAATTTATAATTTAATCTTTATTTTAGAATGTAAACTTTAGTTGTTATTTAATTTAATCCTAATTTTACTAATCTAAAATTCTTGATGTATGTACGAATTTCAATTTTTATTGAATTGAAGCATGCCATCATGTCTAAAAAAATTCTCGACTGAAGGATTAAAAGGTGCACCAAGTAAAGATATAGGTTGGCACTTTTGAGATCTAATCCCAAATTCGAAAGGAAATGTTGTATGTAAATTTTGTGGCAAAGTTACGAAAGGAGGAATAACACGTTTTAAAGAGCACATTACTCATAAAACCGGTGAAGTTGCACCGTGCCCTAATGTTACCGGTATTATAATTATTTTTTTTGACACATATTCTTTATAACTTTTTGTATATTATTGTACATCATACTTTTATACTTTAATTATTACGTGAGGTATGTGTTGTTTTTCTTATATATATATATATATATATATATATCATTTTCGTTTAGAAAACATTATAAAAGTCATTAAAAATGACACCTTAACATTATAATTATAATTATTATGTTTTAAGATAAATTGTGTTAAATTTAAAAATATTCACAACCGCGACACCTGCAGTGACCACGATAGTATCTGTTATGTTCGCAACCGCGATAAACGCGACACGATCGAAAAAACGACTGCGAACGCTAATTAAATCCCTTGTCCAAACTATACCGTTTTCCCCAAATATGTGTCTAAACTAATTGTCTCATCCAGGTGTCTAACATTACTAACGTTACTCATTTAGGTGCTCGGGCAGTCAACGACGTTAATTTCTACCGTCAAGTGACACGTGTCACAATATGATGATTTTGAAATTTAGTTTTTTAAATAAAATATTAAAAATATTCTGATATTTTATATTAAAAAACTAACTTTTCTAATATTATAAAATAACCCCAAAATCTCAAATCCAAACCTTAATCCGTCGTCACCGGCCTTTCCAACCATAACCACCACCACTGACATAATCCTTGCCATTTCCCTACTCATACACCGTCGTAGTTTCCGTTGATTGGCCGCCGGAATCGCGTGGGATCGTTATTTTAATCCTAGGGTTCAGGTGGTTTAAAACGTTGATTTGTCGTCAATTTAAGCTCATGATTTATGTTTATAGAAAATTGGGTTTGCATTAGATGCAGGTTAAAAGTTTAGAAAGCAAATTCTTCTATCATCACTGTGAAAATTGGCTGTATCATTTCCAAGAAATGATAAACAACATAATAATATCTGCCAGAAGGACATTAATCCCATATCAAAAAGAAAGGAAAAAAAATGTCTTTATAAACAGAAGTACTGCGCATCCTATCAGACATGCCTTTCGGGAAGAAGTTAATAATCTCGTGACACAAGTAGCGAATGCAATATTAATCAAGTCGCAAAGTGCATTAAAACACTTGAGATGCAGATAACCCACGAAGTGTCTCCCAAAATGCATTATTATTATGACGTTCAGCATCATCTCAAAGCCTGAAACCTGTTCTAATGTTTCAGACATTACTGAAAAATTACAAAAAAATAGATTAAAATCCTTCCTGTCTCGGACACTTCGATGGCCGAACTTGCAACTCATTCTTCAGGCGAATCAGAGCGGAGAGCTGACATTAAACCAAAAAGATATGTCATCAGAATACTTTTCATTAATGGGAAATAATGATATCAATTCTGAAAAGGGATTAAAAGAACTGTAGCAGGAGAGACCGATGAGAGTAAAAAGTATTCTACAGATAATTTGAATAATACGATTAGCTTATAATCACATATGAATTCACATATGCCACGATCAAAGACAAGTGAAGATATGGTTAAATACTATGAGAGAAGTAATCTGATCAAACAACAAAGTTCTTTTTGTTCACTTTTACAGTTTGGCAACATCATACACCAAATAAGGGATGCTATATGGATATTAGAGAGATCTGCAGAAGATAATCAACCCGACTTCAACCCATGTAAATATAGTGGTTGCAAGGTGATGAGAAAGCTTGAAAACAATTTGAATTGTGGAAATGACACAGGATTCACACAAAATAGTCTTCATGACTTTAAACATCCTATACTAAAGGGAACTCGAAAACTAACTGCTCATAAAAGTTTAAGCTATCAAACTGGAAGCCATTCATACAATTCATTGACCAGACATGGTAAGGATTCATGCAAGCAAAACTACAGTAAGGATTCATGCAAGCTAAACTACAGCTGATGCAATTTGGTCTGATCAACTTGTTTCCGCTAACTATGTCAAGTAAACCCACACGATATGAGCTTCATGTGATCGGGCAGTATATTAAAGAATTTAAGTCACATTCCACTACAAAAGTTATCTTTTAATCAGGGAAAATTAACCAGCAAGCAAAGAATTTAGCGTATGCAAAGCACAAATTAGCACGCTGCAAAAAACCCATCCAAACTAAACATTGCATCGGGTTCAAAAAGGGTACTGAAAAATCCAACTTAGCTGCAGTTATGAATTCAAAAGAGGTAATTATTCATTTTTTTTATTGAATATTGCTCTTCTATTGCAGCCAGATTTTAAGAAGCAATTAGAGAGAGTAACAACCAAACAAACCCAAAATCTAAAATATTTTAGGGTTTCAGTTTAACTTCAATCTCGAGCATCATTTCTCCATTCATTAACTTTGTTTTGGTTACAAAATTAACAATCAAAAGCGCGAGATTGAACAGATTTCAAACATATAACAGTTAGATGTAAATTCAATAGCAATCATTAAGAATCCAATCAAAACAACAGCAGGATTATAGAAAATGAATCAGAAATGAAAAAGAGCAAATCCAGATCTGAGATGATATGAAGAAGGATGAAAAGATACATACTGGGCTTTTCAGGCTTGCCATCGGTCCACTTGGAGATGGAGAAATGGACTTTCTCACGAGTAAGGGCTTCAGTCTTGTAAGGTCCCTTCAAGCAGTTCCTCACGAGGTTGGCGCATATGTTGGAGTAGGTGATGTAAGTCATGCCGGCTGCACGCCAGAACGGCACCGCCGCGTTCGACGCCATTGTTTTCCTTCTTCGGCTGTGTTGTGGTTGCGAATACTAGGAAATCGTGAGAAACGGGAGAATGAATTGTTCCTTCCACTTCTTCTTCCACGCTTTTCAACACCCGATGCTCAACGGGGGCCTTCATTTAGTTTATTTCTTAGATTTGGGCTTCATTATATACATTTCTATCCCAATAAGTATTTCTTTATTGGATTAATTTCATTCTACATCCCTATACAATTGAAAGGGTTGAGTTTCTCATCCAAGCTTTAAATGTATGTTCTTAAAGGGTGTGTTTTGATTCGATTTAATTTTAATAAAAGATTTACTGAATTATATTGCAAGGTTTTTTAGTAAAATAAAAAATGAATTGAATGACATAAAAGTCAAACTTTGGACACGCAACGTAATTTTAAAAAGAAAAGTAAATTTATTATAGCTTTACGTGAATTGTTAAATAAACTTTATTTATAACCTGAATCTATTTTCCTTCTTTTCTACAACATTGAATATATACAAAAATATATCCATGTTATAAATAAATTTTTGTTTTTATTATAAAAATTATTATATTAAAATAGAAAATAACTTTGCATCCATAAAAAACCCCACCACCATGGGCAACTTGGAGAATTGATAGAAGCTGTCGAGTTCTTTGCATTTGGTGTGACGAATATGACGTGAAAGACACAAAAGAAGAAGCTTATGTTATAATAACTGGCCATGTTCGTTGCTGTTTCCTTGGATTGCATAACTATACCCACTTCAGTCGAATATGATATGAGCATAACAATTCCGACCGAACAAGCGATATTAACAATATCTTGGATAAACTACATCATATATCACTAAACTTTAAACGATGTATTATTTATATCATTGAATTTTCAATTACTCCAATTATAGCACTAAACTTTTATTTTGATTCCAATTATACTATCGGGTCATTAAAATTCAAACATCGTAATGACATGAGTAAATTGTATTATTTTGATGTTCTTATTTATGCCTAAAGCAATGTCATTTTAGGCACTAAACTTTAGGGGTATAACGATTTTTCCTCTAAACTTTTAAACAAATCACATTTTAGCACTGCATTTTTTCGGCAATAGTTGGCAGCAAATCATCGCCTATTACCGATCATCTTTTACGACAAGATCGACATCAAAACGTTCCCATTTAACTCTTCTTACTTCTCTTAAGATAGTTTCCATGAAATGCACCTAAAATTGATAAAATCGAACAAAAAAATCTACATTTTTTTAAGGATTTGGGGGCTTTCTCAAATTTGAGGGGTTGGGGTGTTTGTTGGAAAATTCAAATGATAAGAAGCATTATTTTAAGAAGACTAACAACATACCTGAAAACTAGTCTCATCGAATGGTCATCGAAGGATATTAGAGTATTATCACATTGAACCTTTAGATGGATTTTCGTCAATTTTGAACGAGTTTCGTGAAAAACCATTCTGATGAGAAGAAAATTGAGTAATATGTGAACATTTTGATATTGATCTTTTCGTGAATGACCATCGGTGGTATGCAACAATTAGCGACAAAGGATGATGATAAAAGTTTAGTGAAAAAAATGATTAGTTTAGAATTTTAGTGATCAATACACTGCTAAAATTCAATGACTAAAACAATGTCATTTAGGCATCAATAATGGCAGCATAACGTCATTTTGTCCATGTTATTACAGTGACAGAAAGATATGTCCAAGTCATCACTGTAATAAAAAGAGGTGTCCATGACATCATAGCAATAGAAAGATGTGTCTATGTCATCATAGTGATAGAAAGATACGATAATATTATTTCTTTAGTGGTATAATTGAAGTCAAAATTAAAATTTAGTGTTATAAATGAAGCAATTGAAAGTTTGGTGCTGTAAGCTACACACTGCCTAAATTTCATTGATATTTGGTCTATTTTCTTATAATATTGAAGAAGTGTAATTATGTAATATTAACACTAATATTAAATTTATGTTTAATTTTATGTTTATCGTGCATATATTTATGCATATTTAGAATTTTTTTTGGAACGAAAGAAGAGAGAATTTTGAACAAAATTCTTTAAACAAAACGTTGTATATTCACACAGCGATTTTTGCATGAAAATTCACTCGAGATTTTTCCTTAATCAAACAGAGGATAGATGAACCAAAATAATCAAAACTCCTTTTCTGCCATGCTATTAGTTTTCTTTCTCTACGTGATCCGATTCACAATAATAATAATAATAATAATAATAATAATAATAATAATAATAATAATAATAATAATAATAATAATAATAATAATAATAATAATAATAATAATAATAATAATAATAATAATAATAATAATAATAATAGTAATAATAATAAAAGAATCAGATAAAACCAACTATTTCCATTTGATAAACCCAAAGCCTTCAAAAATGATTGAACTTGTGCATCAGTGAGTAGGCCACCAACTCCTATTCAATTCAAGTAAGAAACCTGAAAATGAAATTAAAAGAACAAATTCATCTTCTTTAGGAATAGTAATCCCTATGACCCTCATGGCGATCTCCAGCTTTGTAAGCCCAGGTCATTGTGTTTCCTCGAAGGACCGGACGATGGAATCGGGAGATGTCTAGGCAAGAACCCGACGAAGTGGCCTACGTTAGTAGATTTCGGCTTGATTTTGAAAACGTTGTTGTTGGTTGAACCATGGCAGTGGCTAAGCATTAACAAGAGCCAGAGAAGGAGGAGTGGAACCCGTTGCCTTCTGCGATCAACCATCATGTCGCAGCTCAACAACAGTAACAAACCAGGGAAAAGCGGAGTAAAAGAGAAAGGGAAATGTTAAGAGAGACAACAAAAGGGGGCCAACTTTAAAACAAAACCATATGTGCTTTCTACATGTAGTACATTACAAGTACTTGTTAACAGAAGTGAACAGAGGAGATGAATCATACATGATTCGAGCGTTTGGTCTTTGATGACAATGTATGTACCAATCTTTTTACTTGAGCTATGACTCGATCGGTTATAAAACGCGTAGAAAAGAGAAAAAGGTAGAGGAGAAGGTATGGGAATGGGAGTTAAAGGATTGCAACTCTTATGTTATGTCTTTCCCATGGTTAGGTTGGGTTTGGTCCCACTCCAATAAGGGAAGTTCAACTTTTCTTAGCTTCTACTAGCCTATTTTGCAGGCCTCAAATTTGGAGTTTAGCTGCATCAAATATATTACACTATACTTGCCCATATTATATTATATACTAACGTATGACTGAATATTTTTTAAAGTAATTTAGCTTTCAATATTTTATTATGAATTAAAATGACTCATGATTAACTATAATTCGATAATTTAACAATGTTTAACATTTATTGATGATGTGACAAGTCTTATTTATTCAAAGGATTGATAGGACATATGTTACATTATTATTTTAAACATGTGACATGTTATAAATTACTACTTTAGATACGTAATAGGTATCACACCTTCAATATTTTGTAGTCCCTCTCTCGAGAAGTCAATTACCATCAATGAATTGATGCTAAATTTGTTGTTACATTATAAGGGACATCACTTTTTGTTTCAAGGAAAATTAATTTCTCAAGTGGAAAGAGAGGATGCAAGGAGAAATGGGGGCAATGCCTTCAGCTTTTTTTACTTTACTTGGCACACAAAATAACTAACTGCAATTGTCAGGTTTCTTAATGTACACCCGTACCCTTTTTCATATAACCTGTCCAACCTATGAGGCCTCATCAATAACCTTTGCCTTTCTCCTGTCTCCTTGTAGGAATCTATTCTTCCCAGGAAATTGATTGGATTTTCTTTTTCAACGGAACGTTTCGATCAAGGAAAAGATTATTACTAAGAAGAATAATCTTTGTCAGAATTACATATACACGTTTGTTCAAAAGTATTCCCACAAAGAGGTAATGAAACATTACCTATAGTGCCTTTTTTACCTTGAATTTTCAGGAATCTCATTTCTATCATTTTCTTAGATATTAGACAATTTCTTTCCTACATTAATACCCTTGGAATAATATAATTATTTTGAAATGATTCTTCCTTTCGTATATAACTACACTAGTATAAATATATTTTATTTATTTTTAATGGTTTAAGAATTTTTTAATACTTATTATAAAATAATATGATGCATATAAAATAAAAATAAAAATAAATCAAAATTTTATTTTATTTTTGAAATTTTTACGTATGTGTTCGATTCAAATTTTATTTTTTGTATATGTTTTATTACTTTTGTCATATAATTTGATATAATACTTTGTTGTACAACTCTTACATGTAACATAAATAAAAATGTGTAGTAATTAACACATACTTACACTGGTATAAGTATGTACGTCTCTCAGCCTAAAAATAAACACATACTTACATTAATGTAAGTATGTACATCTATTAATATTTTAGTACCTAAAAATAAATACATAATTATATGGGTGTAAAGGTGTTTCTATATTTTCAAAAAAGTAATTAAAAAATATATGTATTAAATTATTTGTTTATAAATTTTATTAAAAATATTAAAATAAGAAATAATAGAATATATTTTTTATGAACTTTCATGTAAATATTTTGATTTTAATATTAAGAATTCAATTTGTTAAAAAAAGAAAAATAGCTCAAAGATAACTTGGTAAAACATACATTTTTCCTATATTATATTCCTTCAATCAAACTTCGTAATCTTACGTTCCTGCCAAACAAATCAAACAAGGTAATACAATATTTCTAGTAATATGTTAAGTAATGTAACATTCTGATAATCTCATTCTCAAAGAAAATCTTATATTCTATGAATCAAATGAACCCTAAAGGTATAATATTAAAATTAGTCTGTCAACGTGTATTAAAATAATAATTTTTATATTTATTCTTTTTAGTCTTTTGATCCCGATGTTTCATTTTAGGACAAAAATTCCTAATGTTTAACTGATTATTTACTTTGGCTTTTATTTTAATTTTTTTTAAGAATTGACTCTTAACATTTTATTTTAAAATAAATAAAAAACATCTATTTTAGAGTATTAATTGTTTGTTAACTAACGGTTTTCATCTACTGAGGGATCTTTTTGTCTCAAAATAA